TAGTTATACTTTCCGGAACATACTGAAGTTTGAGATTTAATGTAATGGATTTCATGCGAGTTCCACATGTGCTTGTGTGTATGTGTGAGCCTTTTCCTTGAGTAAATAGATATGGGGTTCCTGTGTCACAGAGTGTGAACACCTTCAACTTAATAAATAGATCCAAATTGTTCCACCTGCAGTGTGGAAGAGGTCTTTCTACACATCCTCACCAACACATAGTGTAATAAGAATTATTATTTGGAACTATGATAGGCACGAAATGCTACCTCATTGTTGTTTTAATTTGCATTTCCTTAATACTGCTATTAAGCAGTTTTAATATATTTATTGCCACTTAACTGTCTTCTATGAACTGCCTATTTCTATGCTTTCCCCCACTTTTTTTTCACTTTTTCCCACTCGTTTGTGGTTCTTTACAAATTCAGGATATGTATTCTGTTTCTAATACATATTTTTCTTCTAGTCTATGCCTTGATTTTTAATTTTGTTTATGGTATTTTTTTTTCACAAAGGTTTAAAATTTTAATAAAGTACTTCATTATACTTCCCTGTCTGATATAAAAGTATCCTCCAAAGCATTCTTCAAAAAGTCTTATAAATTTCCTTTTTACATTTAGTTTTTAATCTGAGTTTATGTTTTGCAAATGGCCTGAGGTAGGATTCTAATTTTTTTTTCCATTATCACATAGAAAGTTAATTTGGTGCTATTTTTTTTAACAGTAATCCTTCCCCAATAAATAATAATGCCATTTCTTTCATACACCCTGAGTCCATAAATGTGAGTCTATTTCTAGGCTCTCTTTCTCTTCCAGTTAATCCATATCTCTTACCTGTTGAATTACATTGTTTTATAGTAAGGTACCTGACCCTTTTTGGAATGTTAGAGGTTTCACATTTACTAAATATATTTGGCTAATTTGGGCCTTTTCCTTTTTTGAAATAAATTTAGGACCAGCTGGTAAATTGAGTATATAAATCTGCTGAGATTTTGATTGATAATGTTTCACATTTAAAGATTAAGCCACAAGATTGAGTCTTCTAATCCATCACTTTTATATGTTTTACTATTTACTCAGTTATTTTAAGCCCTTCAACAAATTGTTCTCTATAAAATGTTTCACATCTTTAAGTTTATTCGTATCTTCTAACTTTTTTTGTTTTTACTATTTTTAAGTGGGATATCCTAAAGAGTATATACTTCTGATAATTTGGTACATATCTTAGGAACACTATCCATTTTGGTATATTGTTCTTTTATCTAGTAAACATACTGCTCTCTTACTATATCTGATTTGCCTCGGGTTCTCTTCAATTTTCTGTGGAGATGCTGATAGTATTGGTGATAAATAATAACTGCTCTAAGACCTTAGAGAAAATGAAGTGGTGATGGAGAGATCCTTGTCCAGAGGAAAAATTTAAAGGGAATGTTTTTTAATTTAACTATTTAATATAAGGCATGTTATAGATTTTTGTTGTTGTTGTTGACAACCTTTATGAGGTTAAGGGCATTCCCTTTTATTCCTGGGGAGGTGAAATGTTTTTTAATTTATTTTTTAAACCATGAATAAGTGTTGAATGTTATTAAAACTTTCCAGCATCTATTGAAATGATTATCTTTTTAATTTTTTTTTATTTTCCCCCAAAGATTATTTTTTTGGAAATTAATAGATTTTTCTAGGGCCAAATCATATTTGCATTACAGGATAAATCTTATTTAACAACACCATTTAATTATAACCATTATTATTGCTACTGTTACAATTTTCTACACTGATGGATTAAGTTTTATTAAGAATTTTTGAGAGTCTCATTAATTTTCCTTTCCCATACAACCTATATTTACTTTTGGTATCAGAGTCCTTCTAACCTGATAAAAATCTTTCCTCCTCTTCCCTTCCCCTAGTTTTCCCCTTTCCCCCTCCTACTCTTTCTTCTTTTTCCTCCTCCCCTTTTTAGAAAATTCCCTGTAACTCTCTGTGAGATATGGGTTATTAGAGTTTCTGTATTTTTTCAAGTTTTGTGAAGATTGGGTAATGAACCCATGACTTAACAATCAAAAGACAAATAACCCAATGTAAAAATGGACAAAGGAGTTGAAAAGAAATTTCTCCAAAGAAGACACATACAAATGACCAATAAGCACATGAAAAGATACTGAATGTCATTGGTCATCAGGAAAATGTGAATAAAATTCATGAGACATCACTTTACATCCTCTAGCATGGCTATAAACAAAGGATAATAGTGTTGGAGAGGCTGTGGAGACATTAGAACACTCAGACATTGCTGGTGGGAATGTAAAATGGTGCAGCTGCTTTGGAAACTAGCTTGGCAGTTCCTCAAAATGTTAAACAGAGTTACTATAGGACTCAGCCATTCCATAGCTTAGGTATATACCTAGAAGAAAAGAAAACATATGCCCACACAAAAACTTGTACATGAATGTTTACAAAAGCATTATTTATTATAGCTAAAGAACAGAAACAACCCAAATGCCCATTAGCTGATGAATGGATAAATAAAATATGGTACATGAAGACAATGGAATATTATTTGGAAATAAGGAGTGAAGTACCAATACATGCTACAACATGAGAGAAAACTTGAAAACATTATGCTAAGTGAAAGAAGCCAGAGAAAAGTCTAAATATCGTGTGATTCCATTTATACTAAGTGTCTAGAAGAGGCAGTTCTACAGAGATAGAAAGCAGATTGTTGGTTGCCTCTGGCTGAAGAATGAGGAGTGAATGTTAATAAGTACTTTTTGTGGGTAAAGAAATTGTTCTAAGGGGATGGTGACGGTTGCATAACTGTGCATATACTAAAAACAAATTCAACTTCAGTAAATTTTATCTAAAGGAATAAATTTAAAATTTTGAACCTGTGTTTATGCAGCAGTAATTTTTCTTTCAACTACTGACTCAATCTGTTTGATTGTTCAAGATTCCATGGATTATTGAATTTTATTAAAAGTTTATTTTAGGACATTGATCATTTTATGTCAATAAATTTGAAAACAGATAAAATTGCTCAAAGTAAAGTAGTCCTATTTTCAAAATCTATTTTACCCTTAGTTATATAGTCTTTTTTATCCCTAAGCTTATTGATTTATGTCTCCACTGTTTTTCATTCATATAACCAGACTTGGTTTTATTGATCCTATATTGATTTGTGTTCTCTTTTATTAGACTTTGATTTCATTTATTTTATTCTATTTTTTTTTTGTTCTGTTTTGGTTGGGTACTTTGAACATTTATTTCCATTTTTCTTCATTTCTAGAATGTCCACTAAAATTATTAACCTCCATCTACATACTCCTTTCCATCTTATAATTTGGATATTCTTGAGACATCAAGTTCTAAATGTTACTAATTTTCTTATAATTATTTTTTGATGCATGGATTTTTATAGGTATATTTTGTTCAGTTTTTATTAAGAAAAATTTCAAATACATAGAAAAATTAAAAGACCAGAATAATAAAACATTCATCTGCGCACAACTTAGCATCAACAAATATTAATATCTTTACTTCATATATATTTTTCCAAAGTGAGTGGTAGATACCATGACACTTCAACCCCAAATATTTTAGTATGTGTCTTTTAAAAATAAGGACTACTTTCTTTATAACCATAGTATCACTTTTACACCCCAGAAAAATTAATGAGAATTCCATTATATCAACTAATACCAGTCTCATTTGAATTTCTCTAATCGTTTCCCAAATGTCTTTGATAGCTGCTTATTTTGCACTGATGTCCAATCCCCTTAGTTGCATTTGTCATATCTCTTTTAATCTATGATAGTCCCTCTACCTTTTTTCTTCTCTATGAACATTGACTTTTTGAAGACCTCTAGCAAGTTCCATATTCTGCTATGCCTCATGGTTTCTTTGTGATGTAATTTATCTGTTCCTCTATCATCTTTATTTCCTATAAGGTGGGAATTATAGCAAAGGCCTTGCTTAGACTCAGATTACACATTTTTTTTTGCAAAAATATATTGCAAAAAACTTTTCATACAGCATCACATAAGAAGAAACATGTCAGGTGATTTCTCCCTTGTCTAATACAGTTTTTCCCCTTCGCAGTTAACAAAAAGTCTGTAGTTGGAATATTCTATTGTTACTGGTGAAGGGTGTCCAGGTTCTTGGTTTCCTGAACAAAGAACTCGATAAAACACACAAAGCAAGGAATGAATGATGCAACAAGGCCGGGCACGGTGGCTCACGCCTATAATCCTAGCACTTTGAGAGGCCGAGGTGGGTGGATCATGAGGTCAGGAAATCGAGACCATCCTGGCTAAAACGGTGAAACCCCGTCTCTATTACACACACACACACACACACACACTCTCTCTCTCTCTCTCTCTCTCTCTCTCTCTCTCTCTCTCTCTCTCTCTCTCTCTCTCTCTCTCTCTCTCTCTCCACGTTAGCTGGGCATGGTGTAGGGGCACCTATAGTTCCAGCTACTCGAGAGACTGAGGCAGGAGAATGAGGTGAACCCGGGAGGCGGAGCTTGCAGTGAACCGAGATCGCGCCACTGCACTCCAGCCTGGGCAACAGAGCGAGACTCCGTCTCAAGAAAAAAAAAAAGAAAGAAAAAAGAATGAAGCAACAAAAACAGATATTTATTAAAACCACAAGTACACTCTACAGGGTGGGAGTGGGTCCAAGAATAGGATCCAAGAGCTCCAGTACAGAATTTTCTGGGGTTTAAATGCCCTCTAGAGTTTTCCCATTGGTTACTTGGTGTACATCCCATGTAAATGAAGTAGTGGCCGGCAATCAGTCAGAGGGAAGCAGCCAATCAGGCTGAAGTGAAGTTACAAAAGTTACACCCTATGCAAGCGTCTGATTGGTTGTGGAAAGCAACCAATCAAAGATACTTTCAATTTTCCATCTGCCATGCAGAAAGGAGGGGGTGGTTTGCAAAGGGAGTAGCCTCCAGTACTTTTGTTACTTAGGTATGGAAACGGGGTTTTCCTTTTGATTTAGCTTTAGGAAGTCAGCGTGAATTGGCCTTAGGTTCCCTGCCTCCAGACCCTATTCACCTACCTCAATATTCTGCATGAAACATTTACTTAATGGCTTTAGTATCTATTGGTGATCTTTATTTCGGTCAGTTATTTCAATGGGTATACAAAATGGTGACACTTCTGAAGCTGTTTATTCTCAGATGGGAAATTTCCATACTCTCCTATTAAAATATTAGACTGAGTTCTTTGTTTTTTAAAAGTTTTTTAAGGTTTTGTTTACGTACAATAAAATTCACCAATTTTTGAGTGTACAAATGGATTATAACAAAATATAGTTTTGCAACTACCACCACAATCATGGTAGTTGATTGTCTATTCAACATCTCATTTTGGTTGGCAAACATTAATAATGATAATCACCACCACCACAAATATTTGTATGGCACTTACGAAAAGCCAGGAACTATTCTAAGAGCTTTAAATAAATTATTTTTAAAATTTAACTTAATAGGCATTCCAGTCTTAACCCATTTAAGCCTGAACTTGATTCTTCCACCAAAATTTGCTCCACCCATACTCTCTCTCATTTCAATTAATAGCAACTTCATCCTTCTGGTTGCTAGGACCAAATGCTTGGAGTTAATCTTGACTCCCTCTTTTCTTTCAAGCCACTCATTGTTGGCTCTAAATTCAAAGCAATTCAAAATTGCTACGAATTCTCATTATCTTTCTTGCTATCACCCTGTCCAAGCCATCATCTCTTACCTAGATTCTTGCAATAGCCTAATAACAGATCTCCCTGCTTCCTCCTCTGCTTCTATAATTTTCAACATGGCAGCCAGAGTGATCCATTAAAAAGTCAGAAGATCATGTCACTCCCTCTGTGTCTTGTGTCCTGTGCTGTCATTTGGAGTAAAATCCCAGATCCTTTACTTGGCCCCACCCAATGATCTGTCTTCTAAGCCTACCCTCATTAACCCTCTCCCTTCACTGTGTCCCATTCCCAAGGCTTCATTAATGTTCCCAGACCTTGCCAGGTGCAATCATATTTAAGGGCCACTTACACCTGCTTTTCCACTTCCTGGGACCATCTTCCCAGATATTTGCATGGCTTGCCTGCTCCCTCAACTCCTTTAATCATTTATTCAGGGTTAGCATTCTCAGTGATATTTTTACTGAGCACCCTTGTATTTAAGCTTGTGGACCACCCAGCCCACCCTGCTTTATTTTTCTCTGTTGCACTGACTACCTTCTAATAGACATTATAATTTACTTACGTAGTATTTTCTAACTTCTGTCTTCTTCTCCAGAATGTAAGCTCCACAAAGTAAAAAAAAATTGTATTTGATTTTTCATTCATATATTCCAACACGGACACGTAGTGGTTGTTCAATAAATAACTGAGGAAACATGAGATGATATATTTTGAAGACCAAGGAATTAATAAATGGGAGGTGGGCCTGTCACTTTAGGCTGTAAGTTAGCTGGGATGCAACTGAGACCACCAAGCTAGGAAATAACACAGCAGAACTTACCAATTTCTTGTGCAGGATGGTGTCAGAAGCCCAGTGGCCGACACTCAGCTTAAATCTTTTCTTCCTGGACAATAGCAATTTCCTGGACGATGTTAGTTAAATTAGTCACCAGCATGATGCTTCATTCTAGAAGAGAGGACCCTTTTCGAAATATTCATTTCTTGGCACCATGTTAATTTTAGCAAAATGTGTATTTAATACTGAGAAACACATTAAACAAATTATCAATGAAAAACTCCAAACTTTTAAATATTCATAAAAATATTGTAAAATCTGACCAGTAGTTGTCCTTGACTTACATGATTTACTTACTGGGAAGGTAACACTTGAGCTCCACTTTGCCTCAGCTATAAAGTCACCAGGATGTAGTTTTAATTCTGACCTGTAAATCAAAATTTCAAACTACCAGTATTCATAGAGTGTCCATAGTTGCCTAGTGCTGTTGTGAGCACCACTGGGCTATAAAATAAGTGGAAAACATAGTCTCTGCCTAGATAAGTGAGTGCTTAATGCGGCTTGCACACATTTCTCAAGTACAGCATAAAGCAAAAGAATGATTTGGGCCCTAATTTAGAATTTTATTCAATTTTCACAGTAAATTATATTTATTTTTGCTTAACTCTTAATACCTATCTGAATAAATGGCTTAAAATTTTCTTCAACTTTTCCACTGGTGATTTGTTTATCCTACAAATTATTTCCCGAACAAATACTGTCATTCAAGGTAATTGGACACTTCCCAGCACTTTAGAAGAATGTATAAAACCAGGCATAATCTCACTGGTTGTGTTCTTCATTGCTTTAAGACTTGTTTATATGTCTCTAGGACTACTGCCATTTATATTATACTTTAAAACATTTTTTGAGATAATCCTTGTGAATCTATCACCAGTACAAATATATGTGATTGTATTAAAGTGGAATTTTTGGAATGGTTCAAAGTATATTACGGAAAGGAGCATCTCATTTCATCTACAGACGAAGCAATTTCTGCTTGGAAAATTTTCAATTTTAGAAGTCAATATTTTCTAATAAAATAGCATTTGTTGAAAAATAGCATTTTCATGAGAAAATGAAAAAAATTATGCGAATCTTTTAAATTTAAAATGGGACTAAGCGGAGTTTAGCGTTTTCTTCCCCAAGGCAGATTTCCTTTTATCTCTGGAAATGCCAACAGGAGGCCAAGGGCCAAGCTTCCTGGCCAATTACACTATACGGCAGTTTCCCCCCAAGAGCTTTATTCCCAAATGCACTTGGGAACCAACTTCTGACTCCAGACAAATGGCAGTTAGTTCCAGCTCTTACCTGCCAATTATGATACTTTGGATATCTGTGTCAGTCTCTGGGTCAGCTCCATGATAAGATTAAGGGACCTGTTTGTTTAGTTCATTAGCAGAAATTCGTTCCACCCAGACAGAGCTGAGGTTGGGGGTGGGGGCGTGAAGGGAACCAGGAACCTGCGGGAATAGATTTTCTTTTTCTTACTAGGAAATGAAAGCACTATTTCCCCTTCTGGATCCCTGCTTCCCTTTTCAGTTCCTCCGTTAGGGGCAGACAATAGAAGTCTCCAGGCCCCCTCTCAGGGCACCCGGTCCCCATCGTCCCCTCACCCCCACCTCCCTTCCCCGCCCCTCACTCTCCAGCTTCTCCAACTCCAGCTCCAGGCGGAGATTTGTCAGAACCGTTCGGTTGAGACTGATTATGATTGCAGCAGATGGGCTGGATTTGACAGCGCCGATCCTAAGCAGCTTCTGATGGGGGGGCCCGGCGGAGGGGAGGGGAGGGGGAGTGGGTAGGGGGTGGGAATCGATGGGCCCCAGCCTCTTCATCAGAGCGCAAGCCGAGCCGCCTGCCGGGTGCTCCCGGGCAGCTCTTTAACGCGCGCCTCCAGGAGGAAAGTGGCACTGCCCACCCGAGGGGCCTCCCTGAGCGCCAGGGAAACGTCCCGCGGCAGGAGAGGGCTCGGGGACACTGGGAGGCAGGCGCAGGGGGACTGGCGGCGGAACACAACAAAGCGGAGGAGCGCGAGGTGCCCGGGCTGCGGTGCGCGCGTGGCCCAGGCTACCTCCGCGCTCTGGACATGGCAAGTTTGGCAACTCCCGGCTCTGCAGCGGGCGCCTTGTTGCCCCCGAAGTGAAGGCGCTGCAGGGTCAACCCCTGGGGGCGCAGCGCCCACCCCGCCCCCAGCCCGCAGCAGCATGCTCCACCGAAGGCCAGGTAAGGAGACGCCAGCCCACTCCCCGCCCGGGCGCGCCCCCGGCGCGCCGCCACCCTGACCCCAGCCCTTCAGCGCGTGGCTCAAACTACCGTTTTCCGCCCTTTTTCCCGCAGACTGTATGCTTCCGCGCCTCCCGCCTGGGTCTCCTTGGCCCCTCTCTGCCCTCTAACTATATACCTCTCTAAAGATCCTGCATCCTTTCCCCTTTACCATAGCCCAACGGCAGGGGGAGAAGTTTTGGGAGGTGGCACGACGTTAGGGGCTCTCCCTTCCCTGAAAGCCCGAGCCAGGACACCTGAAGCGGGACAGCTTGTGGGAGTCAGTCCGTGTGTGCGCATACCCGCCCAGCTCCCGCGCAGCCCGAGCCCCGCTATACACGCGCGCGCACACGCCCTCCTCTCCACCTGTGGGGCCTCGCTTTTGTGTGGGAAGCACAAATGAAAACACACACACGTGCGGAAACACTTCCACGTTGGCATCTTCCAGAGACTCCTAAAGGGTGGGGGCGTAAAGGGGCTGCAGGGGAGGGGCAGCTGTTGAGTTCTGTGGTCCTCCCAAGCACAGGGCCAGCGCCTCTCCTGTCGCTTGGCTTTGACTCCAGTGCCTAGGGGCCACCGGAGTGGCGCCTTCCCAGGGGCCGGGAGGCCGTTGGGTTTGGCAGGGGCATAGCAGTGCCAGTAGGAAAACTCCCTCCCTGCTCCCCAGCGAGGTCAGAGGTCTGGGCCACTCCCTGGCCCAGCCCCAGCAGGGCGCGCCTGTCCCCACCTAATGCCACGATCCCCCCTCCCCCACCCTCCGCACTGCCTCCCTTGCGCGTGTGGGGGAGATCCCTGACCTTGTCTGCCCAGCACCAGGCCAGTTGCCCAGGCGGCCCCTCCCTTGTTGCCACCTCCCGCTCAGCTCACCAGGAGCGTGTGCCCTGTTGCTACTGGCAACTGCCTGTGCCTAAAGCTCAGCCCCCAAACTGGCTTAACGCTGATTGATGGTCAGAAATAGGATATTTTCTGGAACGGAGCGGAGCACTGGTGCAAGATCCTCCCTGCTGCTGAGTCCTGCGGACCTCCCGGGTGGCAGGCCTTCCTCCCCCTCTCGTTTTGGCCTCACCCCGTCCTACCCTACCCCTTAGAGAAAAAGGGCTGTTAGGATATCCTCATCTCAGGTTAAGTGCTGAGCCAGCAAGCCAGTGTTCGTTTTCTTGCTGAGTAACCGGCCACCCCGGAATTTCTCTTCTCATCCTTGAGGCTTCTGAGTCTGATGAATGAGGCCCCTGTTCCTGGCCGCTACCACTTCCCTTTTTATTTTCATCCCCACCAACTTGTTCACTCGTTCACTCCTCCCTATGCATAGGTGCCTAAAATAGACTACACCTCTAGTAACCAGAACTATTCCTGCAAACGCTTACAAGAGCGTTTTCCGGAAATAAATCATTTCATGTCAGTATCCCTTCCTCAGTCATTTCCCGGCTTCATGCCACCTCCCTCCTAAGACACAGAATTGGTCATTTCCACCACTTTAAAGACACAGTGCAGATAAAAAGCCTGCGTTTATAATGTTCTTTGCAGGAGTAGCTTTTGCCAATTTTGTGGAGTTTTTTGTTTTGTTTTTTGTTTGGTACTCCCTCTCAAACTGTAGCCTCCCTTCCCTTTTCTGGGATGGCAGCCTCCTTCTCTAAACCATCCTGGACTAACGTTTTCTGGACTAATAAATTTCTGCACCTGTCTGTACTCCTTCTCCTTCCCAGTCTGACTATAATGGACCAGATTTCATTATCAAATTAATTCCCTTTCGAAGAACTTTGTTCTATAGCATTTCTTCCCAGCACTCCAGTATTTTTGGCAGAGTATTTTCATTATTTAAATTGTCATGCTTAGCCTCTTTTTGCCCATGGACATTACTTTGGAAAACCATGTGATGTTTCTGAGTCACTGATTTATTCCTCCAAACAAAACTTCCTTGAGAGACTCCCATATGTTGGGTACCATTGTAGGCCCTCGGGGTGGGAATGGAGCAAAGACAAGACCCAAATGGGTTTCAGCATTTTAAAGCCCCCGTTACAGCTGGTTTATGGTTATTGCTATGATGGTTAATGTTATAACAGCACACTACATTTGATTAGGACTTTACAGTTTACAAAAGGCTTTCAAAGACATTATCTCCTTTAATCCCAGCAGTAGGAATTTTAAATAGCAAGGATTCCACCAAAAGGCCCAGTAATGCTCACCAATCCTGCTTAACCAAAAAGAAAAATATTGCAAATCATCCCAACAGCTGATGGAGCTTTAAAACACAAAATAAACAATTCATAAGAAGCTTCTGAAGCTTAGTTACTGGAATGTAACTTGGAGAAGATAAGTGAAATGCACGTAACATGTATATTACCAGGAGGGTGTCCTGGAGAGGAACTCCATCCTGGGGCTTCAGTGGCCTGGTGAACTGCTGGAGGTTGAGTCTTTCCAGCGATCTGGACTATTGCCTTATCCTAGGATCTAAAATGGGATGAAAGTGTTAGCACAAAGTTGCTGGGAGACTAGCAAATTAGGCAAAATGAGTAGGCAATGATGTTACTTTCTTTAGCTACAAAGCATTCTTGAGATATCCGCAAGTTTCTAGCATATATTTACTCGAGAAATGAAGCAATTTTCTGTACTTAGAATATAAAAAAAAAAAAGAGTTTGTGTGCCTTATGTGAGCCATAATGAAGACAATCAAGGTTTTGGTCATTTTTACCCATTACTTTGAAAACCAGTCATATCTCACGTGGATAAATGGCAGTTTCTCTTTTTAAAAATCATTTTTAGGGAGGATATACAGAAGGCCTTCCTGTAGATTTCTTTTCTCTGCTCCTTGAACACGGAGGGCAGCCCTTCTGACTTAGTAGTTGTGAATATCATTCATGACTTTCCTCCAAAAATGGTTTTTATAATGCTAGCCGATAGTCATACATTTTTGTTTACATTTCAGATATCATGCTGATCTTGTGTTATCATTTTGAAAAGTTTTATTCAAAGAAGTTTTACAAGCAGGATGGTATATGGTAGGGAGATTATTATGGCTGGGGGGTGGCTTTGGGTATGACTAGATAACAGATAAGCCAAGAAGGTAATCCTAGGGCAAGGTCTGTTATGAGGAAGGTTCAGGATGCCCAAAGGAGCTTTATATTGTTTAATACTGTGAAGGTTGGTGGCGAGTTTTAGACATGTAGAGTTTTTTTTTTTTTCCTAGAGAGTTTGTTTAGTCAAGCCTGTGACTCTGTATTAGGCATTCCTGGGTATTATTTTCATTCCTAAATATTACAGTATTTTAGTTCAGAGCCAACCTAAATCTCTAGGTTGATTATATGTCAATGAAAAGCACATAATGCAAACAATATAGATCTATTTGGGGAGTTAGATTGGGCATAGTGGGGCGGGTGAGCCCCCTTCTGGCAGGGGACTTTAGCAGCTTCGGGTTTTCAGATGAAGTTGAGAGAGAGGTGAGGCTGATTCCAACCTTGGGCATACTCCTCAAATATTTTTATAAACCATGAGAGACTGGAGCAGGGAAAGTTAAGAGCACTGTGCTGATGGCTAACATCATCCGGGCTCAGGGGTGTCCGTCTTCTTTGTAACCCCCTAATCAAGGCCCTATTATTTGTGCTGTCACCCCGTAAATATTTGCCAAGGGGCATTTTTGGAAAACAAGCCTTCCTGCTTTTTATGTGGAACTGTGCCATTTCTTACTTAGCTGATACCTTGTTCCTTTAAAACATTTGATAGTTTTGTCCTTTTGGGTTTCTGTAGATGAATAAGAATGTGGGTGGTTGAGACTTTCTTGCTGGAGGGCAGTAGTGCAGTATTGCTGCTGAAGGCTGTTGGTCCTGATTGGGATTGCTTCCTGGAGATTATGCCCTTCCATCCTCTTTCTCCTAATAAATACTGTTTTCACATGGTCCTTTCTGTCAGAGAGTAGGTGGCATAAATAAACAGGCTCTGTGAACTTGTTACTCATCTCAGACACTAACATAGCCTACAAAGTGCTTTAAGAAGCATGCCGGTACCTAGATTTCCAGGTACTGTAGCAGGTGGGAAGGGCTTAGAGAAAGGGAGAGAAGCTAATCATTTTGTGTTGTATTGAAAGGTCTTGAACATAAGTCATAGCACTTGCTCCTAGAGGTAAAACTATGGCCTCTAAATAGCTGGAGATTTGCGAACTCAGAGTGTTGCTAAGAACACATGTTAGGTAGGAGTCCCCCTTCAAACTTGGGACTGTGTAGATATGAACTCAAAGCCTGATTCTCTTATTTATTATTAATGTGATTTGGGGCCAGGTTATGAATCTCTCTAACCTGTTTCATCATCTATAAAAATAAAAAGTACGTGCATTTGTGAGATGTTAAGATGAAAATCTAACACATATTAGGGCATGAGACAGTGGCCCACCCACAAGAAAGCCAACAGATGTTAGCAGCTATGGTCTTTTAATATAATTTTCATATCACTTTGGATTGGATGAGACTGGCTATTTCACATGAACCTCGTCTCTCAACCTCCTCCCTGCCCAACAGAGAACAACCATTAATAGGGAATTTATAACCTAAAGCAATTACATTGGCATTCCTGGGTATTTTTTTCATTCCTAAATATTACAGCATTTTAATTCAGAGCTAACTGAAGTCTCTGTGTTATTAAATATGACTGCAGCTACTTTCAGAGGGAGTGTTGTCCTCCACCAGTGTGATGGGAGATGATACCTATTCTTTCCTTGAGATACAAACAGGTCAGTTCATGAGATAAACTAGTTTAGTTTAAAGATAAGCTTCGACCTTTCAGTTAACATTAAATTCATCAAATGCTTGTAAAAGTCACTGTGCTTGGGCTGCAAGGGATGCAAAGATGAAAAACATAGTCTTATTCTCAGCTGGAAGATGGGTTTGTATGATAAGAAATAATAAGAGCATCATAGTAAGAAACATCACCATAATAAGTACATTTGCCATTTATTAAGTCCTGGGCTATGTCGGAAACATACTGTATCTTTGGACCTTTTCAAAGGCAGCAGTATTGATATCTGTGAAATAGATATTTTCTGTATTATGTAGAGATATTATATAATAAGGTAAACAAGTATCATAGCGGTGTTATTAAATAGAACACTGTGAGTTGCAAAGGAGAGAGTTATCCTATGAGATAAGCCTATCTCAGGTGGTTTTTGCTGGTGCTTTGAATCGTTTGGAAAGCTTGAAGGTGATTTCTGTAATAACTACAATATATAGGGTTGTATTTGGGTTCAACAATCTCTTGATCCCCTACACTCTGTTCACAGCATTATAGAAATGAGAGAGAAAATATTGGG